AGAGTATACTGGCGCTTGACACATCTGATCGTTGTAAAGGAACACTCACTCACACACACAGTGTCCCAGGGCTGGCTCTACCAAGAGTGTTGCTGCTGCTACCGCTGCTGCTGCTGTGGCTGTTGTCTAAGGCCCAGACCATGAGCCAAGGCTTGGTCCATCCAAGATGTCCAGTACTGCTCAGAAGTTCCTACCGCTTAGTGACTTCCCTCGTGTTAATCCCACCACTTTCCTCACCTACTGGGTGTCTGATCTTGCACTCACACATGTATGTGTGAGGACATCACACACACACACACACACACACACAGAACAAGGCCATTGGACCTGCTGGGCTGGTGTCATCTGTTGAGGTTAAGCCCAACAATGTTGACATCCAGCCAACAAATGACAGCACCGTGGCTCCTCCACCTCTTCCTGGGTGGGGAGTGTCCACTTCCTATGAGCTCCTGGGAACTCTATGCATGGAGGAAACCATCCCCTCTCCCTCCGTGGACTTGCCTGCTAGACTCAGAGTCCAGGGCACTTCTTCCCATTCTCGTTGCACCCTTGCAGCCTGCCCGAGGTTCATCCCTCTGCTCACAGGACAGAGAGTGCCTTTGGACTCCAGTCCACATGACCTTGCCTGGGTGGCCAGACTCTGCCTCTCCGTTGGCTCGAATTTCATTTCAACCCCTTCCTGCAGAAGGGGCTGGCTGCACAGGAGGGTGGGAAGCTGCACACGGAGGTTCTTTGCAGCTGCTCCCAGCTGCTACAAAATGCTGATTTCTCCGTTTCTCCTCTGTTCAGTTCGCCTCCCCACTGGACTTAAAAAACAAGGTCGTGATCGTTAGAGGCCAGAAAATTCCCGATTTTGAGGAAGTCAGGGGAATACTAAGTCCTCAACTGCAAGCTGAGACATCTTTGATTTTCCTGTGTGCTCCGGACTCAAATGATTCAAGCCTCCTACCGAAACTGTCCAGACTTAACTAAAGAAAAGGAACTAAAACGTAGGATATAAACATTCCTGTGTAGAGACTGGATAAGGAATACTTCCTATCTTGTATTAACATAAAAGACTAAAAGGTTACAGAAGCCAAATATTTATATACATATAAATTTACAGAGCTGACCTTCAGTTTCTGGGGGGATGGGTTCCTGGAACCCAAATGAGACACCAAAACCCATGGTTGCTCCAGTCCCTTAGACAAAACAGCATGGTATGCGCCTACAATCCTCCCATACACTTTTAATCAATTCTAGAGTACTCCCAACATAACACGAACACCAGGTAAACAGTTGCCATACTGTATTATTCAAAGAACAACGTTCGGGATGAATTGCATTCCCCAAACATTTTCGGTCCACATCTGATCCACTCCATGGATACAGAACCTGCGCTCAGGAAGACCAACTGCATATTTATACTTGTGTGTGTGTGTGTTTGTGTGCGTGTGTATGTGAAAATACATCATAAATAGCGGTCCTTTGTCTTGGGGAAGAAAGGGCAGGCCTTTTAGTTGATGCAGACGCCTCCTGGTCTCTGTAAGATGAGGCTCGGGGCTCAGAACTTACACAGCTTTGTTTGATTCCCGGGCCTCTCCCAGAACACCGGCTCTTCTTCCCACTCTTCCTGCCCTGGTGCCTGACTGAGACCTTCACCTGCTGTTGAACCACAAGAGAGGCCGCTGGTCTGGACTTCCAGGAAAGAGCTCAAGGTTTAGAAGCTGATGAAGCCAGTTTCCATTCACTCCCCTTCAGGAGCCCAGCACACACACACACACACACACACACACACACACAGCCCACAGGGCCGACTCACTGCACAGGGTTGCCTTCCTGTAGCACGCAGGCCCCAGACACTTGTCGTCCTGATATCCTGTCTGCTAAATTAAGTAATGAGGAATGTTTTTTAAACCCCTCTGGCTGGAATTTCAGATCCAGAAAACTCCACTCAAGTCTCCTAAATTATCATTAGCTAACCTCCTGGCTTATAGAATGTCGCTTTCCCTTCATTTGTTTTAGAGGAAGGCTGCAAGGACGTTTTAAATCGGGATGAATAACGTCCTCCTTAGAGGTTTTGAATGACAAATTCACTTTCTTCACCTTTATTACAGATTTGTTCAAACAAAGGGATTTGTATCCCACTACTTTTGCACAAAGTTTACATAAAGCATTTTCTTTTCTTCTCAGTGCATGAAACTGATGGAGACATCTTAGCAAAATCCTCAAATTCATTCTCCAGGGCGTTTTCTGCAAACTTCCTAACATTCACAAAATTATCCCTCTGTGAGGACAGTAGGGGGCACTGCCACAACAAACTCATGGCAAACATCTCGCTGAGCCCCAAACCAAGGCTAGACGTGTTAGGATTCTCCCAGGTCACTAGGCAAATAAAAATACTACACAGAGGTTATTTTTCTTCCATAATTCATTTCAGCATGCAAATATCAAGCTGTTCTTTCTGTACACGGGTGTGTGTGTGCGTGTGTGCGTGTGCTCCTGTGTGGTCAGAAGTGTGTGCTAGAAATTCTCTACTACAAACTTTGGGCTGACTCACGAAGATCTCCCCAAACCGCCTGTTCTAAAATATTAGCTAAATAAAAGCAGCTAAAATGTACTGAATGGTTAAGTGGCATTCTGAATGGGAGAGGGTTTTTTTTTTTTTCTCCCCGAAAGTTCAGGCTTCAGCCTTTCTCACAACATCAAACTCCAAGTTCAGAGTCAAGATGAAAGAGAACTGTGGGAGACATTTCATTAACTGATCACCATAACCCAGACCCCATAGGTTGGATTTTTAAAAGAATAAATAAATAAATAAATAAATAATAATAAGGTTTTTCTGTGTAATTGAGTTAAACTGAATTTATGCATCCAATAAAAAAAAACAACATTGCAAATAATGAAACAAAGACATTGCTCCAACACTTGGAAAATTAGATTCACCAAACCATGAAGTCTACTGTGTGGTTATTTTTGTAACGACCATAAATTGCTTTACGGGGACTCTTCTGCTGAAATAAACAATCCAAGCAGGTTTACTTTTCAGCCCACATCCAGTCTCCAAAGGAGAGAGTGGCCTCCAAGTTTATGACTCTTTCTCGTTTCTTTCTTTTTTTTTTAATGCTTGTGTTTCCAGTGGCCTTAAAGCCTTCCTTCCCTGTTCACGAGCTCAGGAGAAGTCCCACAGAAAATAAGATCCAGGTCTGTAGATGGACTGTGCCCCCAAATGCTCATTTTGGGAGCAAACGGCAGCACTGTTACTTCGTGGAAATCAAGCTGATATGGCCAGATGAATAGCAAAGGCTTCAGTACTAAATATTTCACCATATTTAACAGCACACCTCACAGCCCAGTGACGGCTTAGAACATTGCAGACAGTCAGCTTGAGCTGTGCTCGCTCACAGCACTGGAGGAGGCCAAAACCAATGCAAACTGCTACAGATAAGAGTTTTAGGGGTCTTTAATCACTCCTTTCTTGTGTCCTTGGTGGAAAAAAAACAGAGCTGCCTTTGTGCTAAAACAGAACGACTTGTTGTTTCCAGATTCAACAGGTCATTTTTATAAGAACTTCCCAGAGGATACGACATAAATGACAGAAACACAAGGGGGGTATTTTAAGTGGCTGATGACTTTAAATGATCTATATTCTATATTAAAGGAAGGCTGTTTGTTTTTCTTTCCAACAAATGGAAGGTTACTGTTTTAAAAGTGTGGAATGTTTGGATTTGATTTTTTAGGACCCAAACGTTTTCTCATGAGTTGAGTTACTGCAAATTCAGCTCCCGAAGTTGATCTGAGGGTGAGCCTGAACCAGCAAGTACATAAACTTGTCAAATCACGTCCACGTCTATTCTGAGGTTAATTTAGTGGCCTTTTGAAATACATCTAAATTGTGTTGTAACTTCTGTAATATTGTTTCTGTTAAAATAACAAAGGGAACGCATATTTCACCAACAAGATAAACTCCATAAAAATGGAAAATTCTAGCAACGTGATGTTTCCTTGGAGGAAAGAGATTTAAAAAAAAAAAAAAGCCAACATTTTATGCAAACAAAATCCAGGCGACACCAGGATTTATTAGAATTTTGGCACATTATATTATGAAAGGTGGCAGGAATTTGAGGCAAGTGGCCAACTGAAAACGAAGATCTAAATGAGACTTTTCTGCTAACCTGTAGCCTATACTCGCACGGTTTTCACTACTTTTTTCTTCTTCCTCCCTCCCTCCCTCCCTCCCTCCCTTCTCCCTTCATTATATCGCCTACCTCATTAGTAAAGAGCATTGTTTGAACATCTTCAGAAAGTTTCTGCTTTCGCGGAGACAGAAGCTATTTTTTTTTCCTACAGATTTTGAAAGCGTTTTACACAGCTCTCCTCTTCACTCCCAAACAAAAGCTACGACCACGGAAGCATTCCCTAAAACGCTGGGTCTGGTTGCTGGCGCTGGCTGGGACACTGCCTAGGCTCCCTGGCACGTGACACCTTTCCCAAGCTTCCGCGTGACTTACCGCTCAGGACAGACACCTGCCAGAGGGCAAGGTAAACCAACACCTGACAGTAACCGCAGGGAACTGCCCAAAAGATGGAGCAAGAGGTACCTTAGTAGCTACTGAATATGGTCCTAATTTAGGAGAGCGCATTTTTCTTTTTTCCTTTTTTTTTTCCCCTCTAGCTAAACAGACACTTTCACAGCGCGTGACAAAGGGATGAGACCCCAGACCCACTATTCTAGGCAAAGGAATTCCCCAGGACTAAAACCCCTCAGGCAAAAAACACTTCCTCCCCACGCCCTCCCCACTACACCCACTGCCCACGTCCAAGGGGAAGAAGGCACGCTGGGGGCAAACCCCTCAACTGAAGGGCAGCTACCGACGGCCCCCAGCCTCGCGCGTGAAGACGGAGGGAGGTGGCCCAGGGGTCACCCGGAGCTCGCCCCAGTCCCCCAGCCCCTGTGCCCAGCAGCCCCGCGCTCCGACCCCCCGCAGCCAGCAGCCCGCGGCCCGAGCCGGCGCACTCACCGGTACCAAGCGAGGCCCTTGTCGTAGCTGCGGTCGAAGAAGTGGGGCTCGGCGCCCACAGCGCGCACGTCGGGGTGCACGCGCAGGAACTCCAGCAGCGCCCGCGTGCCGCCCTTCTTCACGCCGATGATGATGGCCTGCGGCAGCTGCTTGCTGCCCTCGTCCAGGAGCAAGGCCAGGGTCCCCGGCGTCGGGGCCTCGGCCACGCTGCTGCCGGCCCCGGAGCCTCCGGGACTCGCGGCCAGGCCGGGAGTCTCCTCTTCCCAGGCCGCGACGTCGCCGGGGTCGCGCGGCACGGGTGGCCGGGGCCTCCGCGCGCGCTGCAGCTGCAGGAGCCGCTTTCTGTGCGCCGCCGCCGGCCACCTCGTCAGCTCCCGCCGGCCTGCGGCCAGCACGCCGCGGCCCGGGGCCCCCGCCTCCTCGCCGCCGCCCGACAGCCCCGCGACGGGGCCCGACAGGCTGTGGCAGCGCTCGGCCAGGCAGTAGAAGACGTAGAGGGACGTGAGCAGGGAGCAGAGCGTCAGCAGGAACTTGCGGAAGATGTTGCGGGACAGCGGCTCGGCAGAGGTAGGCAGGGCGCCGGCCGGGCCCGGAGGGGCCATCCTAGCCGGAGGCGACGTCGGGCGGCGCGCGGGCCATGCTAGAACAGGATTCCGCCGGGTGCCACCGAATGCCCCGGACGGGCCTGCGCGCCGGGCGGCGGCCACATCGCCCGTGCGCCCCTGCGGCCGTGCGGTCTGCCCCCAGGAGGCGGCGGCCTGGGCCCCTCGAGGGGACGGAGCCCCGCACTGGGTCCAGAAGAGGGCACGGGGCGGGGGGGTGGGGAGGGGACGGCGGGGCCGTGCTTAGGAAACCATCGTCTTAGACGCGCCCAAGTCCTGGGCCTCGGGGCAGCAGCTCCCCGAAAGGTCGCCCGGGACGGGGCTCTCGGCGACGGAGGCGAAGGCGTGCGGCTCTCGGCCCCGGGGCCGCCCTCTCGGCGCGGGTCTCCGCTCAGCGCTCGCGCATCGCCGCCCTCGGTGTCGGTGGCGGCCCGCGCGACTCCGGGAGCCGCTGTGCCCCGTGCGCCCTGCACAGCGGGCGAGCGGCAGCGTCCCCGGCCCTTCTTCCTGGAGTCCTCTCAGGCCGGGAAGTAGGTCCTGTCCGCCTGGTAGCGAGGTCCAGCCCCCCTTCTCCAAGTCCCTCTGTGCGAACCGGAGCGAGAAAGCGGTGCGCTCCCCTCGGTGCGCGCGCAAGGCCGCCCCGCAGCTGCCCTGGGCCCCACCTGGGAGCCGCGCGGTGGAGCCGGCTGCGCGGGACCTGTCAGCGGCCGCGGCCCCTGCGCTCACAGCCGCCTCCAGGGCCGCCGCCGCCGCCACACGTGGGGCGCGGAGGGCAGCAAACTTGGCGGTGACGTCAGCGGCCCGGGCCGGACCAGCCCCCCGGCCGAGCGCAGCAGGGGCCGGGCCGGGCGGGATGGGATGCAGCAGAGGTGGCGCGGGCTGTGCGGCGGGCGACGGCGGCCCAATGGCACTGGAGGAGAAGGGCGGGGGCGGCGGGGGCGACGCCCCTTCCCCCTGCGGCTGGCGCTCCGAGCGGGGCGGCCTCGCCCCCCTCGGAGCGGGGCAGGGGGCTGCGGCGACTCGCGGGCTGCCTGCCTCTGACTGACAGCCAGGGATGGCCGGATCCCCGGGGGCCTGACTTCCACCCAGCCGGCCGCTCGCTCCACTGGGGACTGCGGACGTCTCCAGCTCGGCCCAGCGCTCGCAGCCCTGCGCAGCCTCCCGCCCCCAGCACTGCCTTTCCACCGGCCCGGAACCTCCTCTCGGGTCCCAAAACTTTTGCAAGTTGTGTCCGCTGCTGTTTCCAGCACGCCGCGCCCCTTGGGCGTGGGGCAAACTGAGTTTTCTCCCAGCGGCTCCAACTTCGCCTCCTCCGCTGCTGTCCACTATGAGCCACCCGGGAACGAAGCGTTTTCTCCCTCCCCACCCCCGACCCCGCCCCCAGCAATGCATATATTTTTGATTGTTTTCCTTTACGTTTGTTTAGGAATATCGACAGTGCCCCGGGAACTAGAAAGGTTCAGCCCCTTAAGAAATGACCCCACAAGGAAAGCAGAGTTAGAAAGTAAATTTAAAAAGAAAAAAATCCATGCGCCCAGCTGTGGGTGAAACGCCTTTATGTGCAATGGTGTCTGAGTGTGTGTGCTCCCGCGCAAAGGGGTTAAATGTCCTTTCCTACGCGGCGGTTTCCTTTTTCTCTGGCCTCCTCTGACCCTACATCCCCTTCATGGGCTCCCCTGAGAGAAGAGGTCAGCACGGAACAGAAACGGCCTTGCTGTTTAATGGAGGGAGGTGGCCCGTGCAACCTGCAGGAGGTGGTTTTTTGTTCCAGTCCTATTTGTTCCTTATTGCATGGCTTCCTGGTCTCTGCGGGGCGCCTCCCAATGTGAGGCAGGTTCCTACCAGCCCCTCCGAGTGGTGAGGCTGCTTTGGGGGACTCCAGGTGGGTGCTGCAGGGACAGTGGCCTTGATGCCGCACGGACAGTGGCCTTGATGCCGCAAAACTTACCAGGAATTCTGCTTCCCTGGTGCTGGGACTGTTGCCTGCTTTTCCAAGTTTTGTTTCACCTTGAAAGTAGAAGTTGGGCAAGTCCCCTCTGGGCTCCCAAAGGGGACTTGGACCGCATGGTTCTAACTCCGTATTTGTGCAGAGCTGCTGGCTTCCTGTCCTGCAGAACCCACACTCAGTGCAGAGCGCGGTTTTATGATTATGACCAAAGCAAACCCAGCAGATTCTACAACCAAGTAGCGCTTATTAGGTTGTGATGCCATAAAGCAGTGGACTTTTACAAGGATAAACAGCAAGTCCTGCCAAGCTTTAATGTCCTTTTGTGTCCTCAAATTGGATATTGACAAACCAGTTGAGGTTTAATACTAACTTAAGATTCAATAGATCTTAGAACTTTTTCCTAGGTCCCATTTGCAGAAGAGAGTTGGCAAACCAAATACCATTTATAAATTGTTCTGAAAGCTTGCGATGCCATCAATGCTTCCAGACGTGCCTTGGTTTGCTCATCTCGGAAAGGGTGCGCTTCCATCTCTTGTGGCCCAACATGATACAATATTGTGCTTTTGGGCTTCTCCATTCATAGCACAGGGGCTTTCTTTATGTGAGTATTACACACACTAGCGTAGGAACCATAGTTTTCACCATCCCATCACATCTAGGGCATCTCTGTATATTGGATATAATATGTGAGCCGCAAAAGCAAGCCACTATAGGCAGTTTAAAATTTCTTTTAAAGATTCACTTATGTATTTGAAAGGCAAACTGTAGAAAGGGAAAGAGAAAGATAACTTCCATCTGCAGATTCACTCCCCAAATGGCCACAATAGGCAAGGCTGGGCCAAGCCAAAGGCAGGAACCTGCAACTGCATCTGGATCTCCCACATGACTGCAGGGACCCTAGTATTTGTGCCATCTTCCACTGCTTTTCCAGGTGCATTAGCAGGGAGCTGGATGAGAAGTGGAGCAGCCAGGACTTGAATCGGAGCCCATATGGGATGCCGGCACTGCAGGCAGTGGCTTTGCTCTTTTTGCCTTTTTTTTTTTATAAAAGATCTTTGCATAAAGGAGTATTAAAGACAAAGGTTAGTTGTAAGGCAATAACCCTGGGCTAGAAGCATCAGAGCTCTTACCATGTTTACATCTGATGGTGAGAGGGAAAACAGAGCTCATCAAAATCTGGAGGGAAAAAATCAACTGTTCAGAAAAGAGTCCTTGGATAGACACTTAGCATCCAAGGCAATCTCTTAGGTGAGGGAGCCAAGAAAAGGCTTGTTACTGGCCGGTGCCGCGGCTCAACAGGCTAATCCTCCGCCTGTTGGCGCCGGATTCTGCCCTGGTCGCCCCTCTTCAAGGCCAGCTCTCTGCTGTGGCCAGGGAGTGCAGTGGAGGATGGCCCAAGTGCTTGGGCCCTGCACCCCATGGGAGACCAGGATAAGTACCTTGCTCCTGCCATCGGATCAGCACGGTGCGCCGGCCGCAGCGTGCCAGCCGTGGCAGTCATTGGAGGGTGAACCAACGGCAAAAGGAAGACCTTTTTCTCTGTCTCTCTCTCTCTCACTGTCCACTCTGCCTGTCAAAAAAAAAAAAAAAGGCTTGTTCCTGACAAGACAATAAAGGACAGGCCTGTGGCTTTGTGTGTGTGTGTGTGTGTGTGTGTGTATGTGTGTCTAATCACGGCAAAAACCAAGAAATGTGATTAAAGTTTCATGATAACATTAGGAACAGTCCGGCTACATAACCCATCATGACCCATCAGAAAAGCGCCTTTTTCCATCTATTCAGATGCATTATTAGAGCTAATAGCACTTGGAAGGTGGAGAAACGCCACTCAAGAGGCACAGCCGACTGTGTTGCAGCTTCTGTTTGCTTCTCCGTTTTGCTCAGTCATTCGTGATAAAGCATTTATCAGCTCCTTACAAGCCGTAGACTCCTCCTTGGCAAAGCTCCAGGTGAAACAAGTGAGGTTTATGGCCAGTGACTTGCAGCTTCTCTTTATGAACCCTTCTCTCCTTGGTGGCAGTGTCCTCTCCTGTGACACCACACAGTGTCCTCTGATCCATTGTCCTCTGTCCACCGATGATTGGCTCATCAATGTCTTGACAGCCCTGGACCTTATAAACCCATCACTGTGCAAACAATTGCTTATCTTTTCTCTCTGACTCTTCCACGTGGGATTTACATTTTTAAGGAAAGAATATTGTTTTTAAATGGCTCCCTCATACCTGCCCAAGTATCAAGAATTCATGCTGATTAAAAACAAAAAGAAGGGCCAGTGTTGAGGCACAGCAGGTTAAGCCATTGCTTGTGATGCCTGTATCAGAGTGCTGGTTCAAGTCCCAACCACTAGGCTTCCTTTTCTTTTTTTTTTAAGATTTGTTTATGGGGCTGGTGTTGCGGTACAATAAATAAAGCCATGGCCTGAGACATCAGCATCCCATGTGGGTACCAGTTTGTGTCCTGGCTGCTCCACTTCCAATCCAACTCCTTGCTAATGGCCTGAAGAAAATTCCTGGCTCCTGGCTCAGCCCTCCCTGTTGCAGCCACTTAGGGAGAGAACCAGCAGATGGAAGATCTCTTTCTGTCTGTCTCTCTCTGTAACTCTTTCAAATAAATGCATATTTTTTAAAAAAAATTTTTGTTGTTTATTTGAAAGTCAGACTTACAGAGCGGGAAAGACAGAGAGGTCTTCTATCTGCTGGTTCACTCCCCAGATGCAACAGACAGGGCTGGGCCAGGAGCCAGAGCCAAGAGCTTCATTTGGATCTCCCACATGGGTGAGAGGGGCCAAATCACTTGGGCCATCTTCCAATGCTTTCCAGGCTATTAGCGGGGAGCTGGACTGGAGTGGAGCAGCTGGGGTTTGAACAGGTGACCATATAGGATGCCAGCATTGCAGGCTGCAGCTTTACCTGCTACACCACAATGCCACTCCTCTACATAGCTTCTGGTTCAGCCTCTTACTAGTTCACCTGATAAGACAGGAAATTATGGCCCAAGCACTTGGGCCTGGGCCACCTATGCAGCTGGGTGAATGTGCCCACATCAGCTGCAATAAGCACGGAACTTTTCATGAAACTTTTATTAAACAAGTGGGATCAGGATCATAAAACATTTCTTTGAAGAATTGGAACAGGAAACAAAATATAGGACACCAGTACAATCCTGAAGACAAACACAATCAAAGCAATGGTTACCAA